CTTTTTTTAATCACTATGATTATCATTTTAACGTTTAGTAATCATTGCAATAAATTAAAAATTGTAATAATTTTTAATTTATTGCAATGATTAAAAAAAGGCCACTGTTCAGTTACAGTACTTTTCACCAACCCGGTATAAATTCCAAGTTGACCATGTTAAAATATTTAGTCATTAAATACTTAGGATTGGCTCCGGATTCAACCCGAAATTTCAGATTTAGTCGGTTTCGGTTCAATCCCGGATCAAACCCAGTTTTTTGATCCGAATCGGAACACTACATATGTAAAAGATTTTCTTTTCTATTGTTCCTTTCAACAGCTTTGGGTAAATAAGTGAATAGCATAATTTTTGCTTATATATCGTCAGGAATTTCAGATAAATTAGATAATTTGGTTGTTATCACTTGTGAATTGATGGGTTTGCTGACGTATAAGTCATTCGAATGTTTAGGTGATTCATTAATAGATTTAATTTTATCAGCTTTTAAAAATTGTTTTTTTATTTTATTTTCACCATCAGAGTTTTCTATTTCTTCAATCCAATGAGTAATTAAACCATTAATAGATCGGATAGTAGGCCGTTTTTTCGGGTCCAAATCCATGCATCGCTTGGCTAATTCAATATAATAATCAGGAGTACCAAGCATAAATTCTGGTCGTAACCCAAGACAAATTTTTATCGCTAGTTCGTCAAAATCATAACCATCAAAAGCCTTTCTTCCACTTGATATTTCTGTCATCATGATGCCCAATGCATAAATATCAACTGCTTGAGTATATGGTCCTCCTTGTAAAATCTCTGTGGCTACATAAGGTAAAGCTCCATACACTTCTTTTTTTGTATTAGAAAGTCCCAAATCTGTAATATAAGCATTATCCAATTCGTCTTGTAAGATGTTACCACTATGAAGATCCCGATGTTCTAATTCTTGCGAATGGATTGCTTCAAGATCTGATGCTATGCAACTTAATAAATTTAACTTCTTTTCCCATTTCAATTGCGATACTTCATGGAGATTACTACGTAAAGAACCCTTTTCTGCATATTTCAAAACAAGAATGTAATTTCCTGAATCATCTCTTGATATTCCGTAACATTTTAAGAATGATGGATTTTTATATCCTATCTCGCAAAACGATTTCAACTTTAAAATACATATATATTAGTTATAATTTAAACATTAAACAAAGCTAAATTTTAAAGATAAAATAAAACCAAATGATTATATACCTCATCAAAAAAATCTTGATTATGAATTGATTTAATTGCGAACGAATATTTTTCATAAGTATCTTCATATTCAATTAGACAGTTTGCATAATAAACGGTTGCAAATCCCCCCTTCCCAATCTCTTTAATATTTTCAAACTTATTGTATGGAATCCATAATAATTGATACCTCTCATCGTCCAATAATTTTTTCACGTTATCATCAATATCAGAATAAGAAAATTTCCTAAAATAAATAAATATAAGATTGGAAAAATAAAGCAAATTTTTAAAAAATACCTTGAAATTTGTTTTTCTCCCTATAATTATCATAAATTTTTTTTAGATATTTAGTAAAAGTTTTTTTTTTGAAAAAAAGGACTTACATTCGAAACCAATGCTCAGCCTCTTTTAAATTCTTTTTTGTTCCAATCCCATTTCGGTAAAAATAACCAACATCTTTTTTTATTCCACCAACTAGACCAAGTTTGGCAGATTCCAAATACAGTTCAAAGGATTTCTTTAAATCCTTTTCAACTCCAATCCCGTTCCGATAACATTCTCCAAGACTATAAATTGAACAAATATTTCCCATTTCAGCAGCTTGTTGATAATAAAAAAATGCCATTTCTTCATTCTTTTTAACACCTTCTCCAAATCGATAACACCTTGCAACACTATTCATTCCATCAACATCACCCATATCAGTAGATTGTTTAAAATAACTGAATGCCATATTTTCATCTTTTTTAACATCTCCAAATAAGTAACACCTTGCAACACTATTCATTCCGTCAACATCACCCGCATCGGCAGAGCTCTTAAGATAAAGAAAAAATTCCTATAACATTCATTTTTCATTAAGATTCATACATAGATAAGAAACAAATTATGTAAGCCAATATAAATTATATAAAGAAATTCAAAATTACAATACCTTTTCCAAAATCTCAAAATCTTTAGCTACATTTTTTGCTTCTATATCTCTTTGTTCAACATCATAAATGGCTATAGTAAAATTTAAATCACTATAAATTTTTTCAAATTCTTTAATATTTTTTCATAAGCTTTTTTGACAGCGTTGGCATTTATAAAAATTTAAGTTGTGTAATTTCTTTAGCAAACTTCTTAATATTCTCCAAAGCAAAAATAAATTTAAACCAATCATATTGATAGTCATAATTTCTAAATTTTCTTCATTTGCCTGTAATTCACATTGCAAGGATCTAACAGCCTCTTGTGCAATTTTGACACAACCTAATAAAGCAGCACATTTTTTATCGCTATATTTTGCATTTTCATAGATTAATAACATCTGGTTAAGTATAATTGTAACCATATTGAATGAGGGAACGAATGGAGCAATTATGTCTTGTGTCTGACCAGCAACTTGAGTTGATCCTCCAAATCTTTTATTAAGTTCATCTTGTAAATGGGAAGCTTTATTATTGTGTACTTGTTGTGTATTATTATCGTATTTTTTGAAGATATCAATGTAATAACTTCCATATTGCTGATTTAATTTCATATTTCATGCAATTCATTGTCTATAATACATTATATATTATGAAAAAAAAATTTATATAAATCAATATAAATTAATTCAAATTAATTCAAATTTATACTACACTACCACTTTCAAAAATTCAAGGACTTCGGCCAGATTTTTTGTATCTATTTCTCTTTGTTCAACACATACATAGTCATAGTAAAATCTAAAGTGATAAAAACCCCTTCAAATTCTTTGATAATTTTTCACAAGCATCTTTAACAGCTTTAGCAGACATAAACTTTCGAAAAGATGTCATTTGTGCAGCTACTTTAGCAAATTTCTTAATCTTCTCCAAAACATAATCCAAGCAAAATAATAGACTTGTTTTCTAAAATTCTCCTTATTTATATGATATTTTAGTTCAAATGATTTAGATTTAACAACAGTATGCACAAATTCAACACGATCTAATAAAGCAGAGCATATTTTTTCATTACATGTTGCATTTTCATAGATTGATAACATCTGGTCATGTATGTTCATAACTATGCTGAATAAGGGAACGAATGGAGCGATTACATCTTGTGTCTGACCAGCCACATGAGTTGGTTCTCCAAACCCTTCATTAAGTTCACCTTGTAGATAAGAATCATTATAATTGTTTTTTGTGAAGATAATAACTCAAACTTTTCACTACATTCTTCCTGTAGATGGAAAGCCTTATCATTTTTTTGTGAAGATACCAACGCAGTAACTTCTCTTATTGCTAACCTAATTTCAGCCATGATTTCATCTTTTGTGTCAATCATTGACTATAATATATTTATCGAATTTTTATTGAGATCAGTTATTAGCCAGTGTTGTATCTATTCAAATGTAAAAGATTTTGTTAAATTATATATACAGCTCTTAAAACCGGTTAATCTAAACTCAAATTTTGCATAAATCAAAATCTCAAAAACAGGAGGAACCGCTGATACGTCACAAAATCATTACACAATTGATGAAAATTTTTTACTCAGTTTCGTCTTTTTGTAAATTTCACAATTTGATTGGTTGACTAATCCCGTAACGGAGAATGAAAATCATATCTATATTTAGACGGTTTCTTCCTGTTAGTCTCTTTATATTAGAAAAAAACCGATCAATTAAATTTTTTTTGTGAGAATGAAGTAACTATTACAACTGGAAAAAATGAATTCCTCATAGACAATATAAAAACAAACTTCGTAACTCCGTAAACAAACAGGAGGAAACGTTGATGTTACACAACTGATTTTACACACGGTGTAAAAATTATTTTACATTACTTGATCGGACTTGATCAGTAAACTAGTATATGTTGTGATTATCCATTTTTTATAATAAAAAATGGCGTGGGATTATAATCATAACATGTACTAGCTAGCTGACTGATCAAGTCTTGTAAAATAATTTTTTTATGTGTTTCACACCGTGTGTAAAATCAGGTGTGTAACATCAACGTTTCCTGTTCTGTAAGATGGACTTAGGCCGTTCTCAAGATCTAAATCAATTGATTAATGAATGATCGTGATGACGCTCAAGCATCACAATCAATGGCGATATTTATAGAATTAAA